TCCATCAATCTCGTTTCGGAGAAGTAAATTTAAGAGAGGCTCTGTCTGGATCCATTTACAATACCCAACTATATGTTACCCGAAACGATTTTTTATCCTTTCGAGAGCATATAGAAGCCGCATGTCATTCATTCATTTGGACTACTGTACAGTACGAGTAAGGGGTTACACGTTTCCGCGCGAAACCATGTAAAAAGCAGTGGGATTTTTAAAAAACATTTTTTTCTTGTTCACTAGTTCCAAGAGGCTAAGTAGACACCTTCTCAATTTAATCGCCACCAATTTGTACGACATTCTCAGCACTCTTAATCCATGCGTTGAAACCGGACTTGAAACGTTCAGTTTAGCTTTCCCAGAACAGCAGCAATTAGCAAGCTCATCCGCGCGGAACCGTGTAACCCCTCGTAGATATTTCAAGTGGTATGAAAATTATGTTGCTGAACGGGGATTATTTCGAGGAATGAAGAAGATTTTTAGAGCTTCAGCGGCGAGTCTTAATTTTGAAATCGACAAATGAACACCGCTGAAGTACGATTAATGTTGAGTTTAGCAAGGATTTTATTCGAGTCTTGTAATAATACGCCTCCATAGAGTATCCCAAAATAAAATACAACCGTATAACAAAAGAGTTTATTAAAGTAACTATCGTCTAAGAAAGACAGAAGAGAAGGAAATAAGTAATCATTCTTCATTGCTTGGAAAGATATGCTTGAAACTCCCGATAATTTGAGAAATATGTATGATTCATTCGTATCAAACCATGATTAATGGGTGAAGGACATTTTTTATTGGCGACTGCACTTGCTTGAATTTTCTCAAGCTTAGGAATTACAGTACAGGAGACGAGACTTTCTTGTTAGGAATGCTTTTCTGGGCATATATTTCGGGATACTGTATTTTCACATTTTCCCGACGGTAGCACAGAGGAACAAAGCAAATGTGGAAAAATCGAGAAAATCACGAAACATCCTTCACCGAATTCAGGTTTTTTCAAGGTACTGAAAAATATTGGACTGTCGAAATGTTTATTTCAACATTTGTGTCCGCGCGGACTCCGGACTATGTTCCGATATGTGCATAAAGTTACCAAATAAAGTATGCAATTCAAGACCATGTCTTTTAAATTTTAACAGATTTTATAACATGGAATGATACTACTGTACACGTGTATAGATTTTAAGCCTTGGCCAGATTCTATAAATAAAACAGGGTACTTTCCAAAGAAAAAATTTAGAAATCCTCTGCCATCTTCCTTATTCCTATTTTTCGTCACATGAGGCTGCTATGACATGGGTTTGAAAAATCGTTCCCATTTTTGTCAGAAACCTGAAGATCTAGCAAAAATGTGTCCTTGGTTCTGAAACTTTTGACAAAACGTCGTCCAATAAAATATAATTTTGGATTTGAAGAGACAAGCTGCGTTTTTGAAGTCGGACTAGAGAAATACAATCAAAAAATCTGGAAATTCCATTCGGTAAAAGCTATTTCCCTGTGATTCAACTTTCCTGGGAACCACAAAATATTACAGTATATGAACCCAATTCATTTGAACTTCTTTGCTTTCCCACTTCTAAGATTTTCCAGCGACACATGGGAATCTTGAAAACATTTTTGGCATTCTCGTTTATTTGTTCCAGCAGTCTGCGGATCCGCACTGAGGAGAGCACGAGTGCTTTTAGGTTCAGCAGGGACCTTAAACTGGGTCAGTGCCGGCTTAAACCGCCTTTCATGCACACAGTTCGCTGTTTGCGAAAGCCGAGACGTTTCGAAGAGAAGGTGTAGCACCAGCTTCCAATCAAAGTTTGTGTGTCAGCTTCCCTCTTCATGGGAATATTTTCGCAGGTTTTCATGGATAAATAATTTTTATGTTGGAAGTGATAATAACACTGTGTCACGTGCACAAAAGACAAGATTATGGCCGTGGTTGATATGTGAGGTTCAACTCCACATTTTCCCATATTCAACTAAATTATCTTGCTTCAAGTCAACATTCAAGGGATTTCACACTTAAAAAGGCAGGGTCTTTTGCTATTTTAACCGTCAGAAAATGACGTCCCCGCCTTTAGAATCCTGTTGAGAGTGCAAAGTTTAAATTTAAACTTGAAAAGAAACCAAATTCTCGAATAAATTGTAGAATGCGCACAAATAATACGCAAAATATCATCTTTTTCTTCAGTATATCGCTTACGCCCTTACGGTGGTCTGTCGACAATTACCACATGATTAAAAGTTTATTAACATGTCATGAGATTAAACTATAACCAGGTAAAAACGTTTCCTACTGTGAAGGAAAGCTCAAACTATCGGTTAAGGTTGTATAATGAACTAGACAAACGTTTTTTTAAGAGAGACAGTTTATTATATACACAGGTATTGACTACTGTATACTGACATGACACCATATTTTCTACCCGAGAAGCAAAATTATTCATCCGAAGTTCCACAAAGAACACGTTACGAACCTCTTAGACTTCGTCGTAGTAATGAAAAATATTTGCATTGCTGTTCAATTCAATAATTCAGCTTGAAGTCAGCATGTTTCTTTTCCATGAACTTATTGCGACAAAAACCGCCAGAACATGCATGCATCACATGCACAATCACAATACAGCAACGGTATATAATACTACAGCCAATATGTCAAGGGAGAAACGAAACATCAATTGACCTATTTCATGACATCAAGTACAGCAGTACAGTACTTGCAGTCAAACATGAGATTGAAGTCGGAAATGGGACAGGAAGAGAAAAAAATGCCGAAATGAAGAAAGAAAACCAGGAGAGAAGATATGTACAAATCGGCAAAAATTCAGGAAATATAACTAAAATTCAAACTTCTGGAACATTGTATAAATAATTCCTCTTCTTGTATTATAGGTCAAATTACGTAATACTAAATACCTCACTAACGAATTTTCCATTAAAACAATTTATTTCATTGGTTCGCCTTGCACAAACTTAAAATAGGGCACAACTCATTTTCACAACGAAATTTCACGATTCGGAACAACAATTTACTTTTTTCAGAATTTTCATGCAGTTTTCATCGTACTCACGGGAATGAACAGATTCATCCGTAATGGATAAANACAAATCGGCAAAAATTCAGGAAATATAACTAAAATTCAAACTTCTGGAACATTGTATAAATAATTCCTCTTCTTGTATTATAGGTCAAATTACGTAATACTAAATACCTCACTAACGAATTTTCCATTAAAACAATTTATTTCATTGGTTCGCCTTGCACAAACTTAAAATAGGGCACAACTCATTTTCACAACGAAATTTCACGATTCGGAACAACAATTTACTTTTTTCAGAATTTTCATGCAGTTTTCATCGTACTCACGGGAATGAACAGATTCATCCGTAATGGATAAACTTTTTATCATAATGCTGTTTGATAAATGTATTATTCTGCAGAACGCATTTGATTTTTGTTCTAGTACGTTGATTTCAAAAGAAAAAGTAAGGTTTCAGAGGATTAATCTCTCCTTGGCAATTGTTTCTATCTTCAACAAGCTCTTGTATTGTTTTAAGATTGAAAAACTGCCTCGTTGTTAAGAGATGTTCCATACCGAAGTGTTTCATCTAATTTCAAGCAATAAGCCTTAATACAAAAATACTCTTGGGATCAAGCATCAATCTAAATTCAGGAACATTAATGCCTGTTAACTCCTGGTTTTGCTTCAAGATACAGTATAGTGCTTCAAGGATTTAGTGCAAAAAAGTTTCTCAGAAATTTTATTCCGAAGTCACTTCAATTCTTGTTTCTTTAATTTCTTCTGTATGATTATTTCCTCCTGCATAACCTTCGCCTGACATTTTTTCTCCCCTCTGAAAGTCGTCTCCAATAAATACAATTTTTTTCTCCGCCGGCATTTTTTCGTCGCCAGCATCATCTCCACGTTTGTCTTTCATTTTTCTCGTGGCAGCACCGTCCCTCAAAATAATCCTGGCTACCATTCATTGACTGCATGCGTCTTATTCCCATCGAAAAAACGGCACGCAGCGTCAAAGGAGATGAAAGATCCGCCTTTTTGTCTTGTGTGTTTGTGTGCCAAAATATCTGCAGAACCTCCAGTCGCTCCGTCCAGCGTGTTTGTGAAAAACTCGACCAGCAATGCTGTCGTCATCTCGTGGGACACCAGTCGTCAAAGCTCATACGTGCTCACCGGGTTCGTCGTCGACTACAAGGAGGTTCTCGGTGAGTAAATCCTTTTCACAGTACACACACACACAAAAAGAACCACGTCTTTCATCACTCTCGTCAACTGTTGGGCAATGAGAAAAAAAGGCAAAGAGAGAAAGAAAAAAAAACAATCCGACATGAATACCGGCGAGGACTAGTGCGAAAAGACGGGAGCAAAAGAAAGGCATTGCTGGGAATGCGTGTCTATATGAGATACAGAGAAGAAGAATAGGAAAAGATGAATTGAAAATAAGAATGAGAAATAAAATAAAAAAGGAGATGGCGGCGGAGATGCGAGTCAAAGGCGCGGGTGATTGGCTTCGTTCGTGCCCCTCCAAGGACCTGCCGGGACACTGCACGACATCGATCATTCGCATCTTTTCTTCGCTCTTTTCTTTTTGCGCAAGGAAAAAAAAAATGAGAGGTCCAATTTGCCGTGTCCCCATACGACCCAAACTCGTCGCACATGGGCGAGACTCTTGTATATGAAATATTCTCCGACGAATGGATGAATATAAAGGTGTTACTTGCTCTGGTGTACGCAGGTGGTACCTCGCAATTATTTGACCTACTGTATTTCGATGGTTGAATTTGCTGGGAGGTTGACTTGCAATTCCACCCTTGCACCGCAATTCGACCTGCTTTGTCCGCTTTTTCCGCGTTTTTTACTGATATTTTTGAATTACACAAAGTGTCTCATAAATTTGACTGGTTCGCAATTTCACCCTACTTTGGCAATGGATTAAGGCCAAATTGCGATGTCCCACCTGTACAAGACTGGACACAAATTTGCTACTCAAGCACATTTATGAAGCTGAATATCAATCTGCTTACTATTTATATTTTTAGAGAATTCCAATGATTATCAAAGTTCTTTCAAGGTACAGAGAAAGTTTTTGAGACTGCTCGACATTGGCGTTAATCTTTTTGAACAAATAAGCGAGTGTCGTTTGAGAAAGATGAACGGGGAAGAAGCCGGTCTGTTTGCAGCCAATGTTAAATGTTGTCAAACTAAGCGTCATTTTTTCAAACCAAAAAAAAAAATCTTGAATTCCCTTCTGTGCATGTTCTTGTCATTTCGATTGAAGTTCTCCGCAAATTCTCTCATTAACATAGTGCACATTCAAACACGAAATCGCAGCTGGAGCTCAGGTCAATCACGATTGTATTGACCTGAACTCCGGCGTTTTACTGTATCGATCTTTTTGGCGATTTGATTCAAGATTAATAAAAAGGAAACGCAGCCGAGAATAGGTATTGACGCGAGTTTTTAGCTTAATGCTTGAAAAAGCTGGGACAGAGATTGTTTTGCAATTTTCAGTACTTCAAAAAAAAACCCCCGAGGACTCCCTGAGGGATTTTATTCCGGGAATTAAAATTTGTTAAGGATTTGCCAAACGAGAGAAGGATTGACAGAGTCAAAGTGTAGAGGAAGTCTCATCTATTTGCTCTCAAAGAAGAATTCCGATAAATTTAAATTAATCCTGTGAAATATCACATTTTACTCCATATAATGAATTAAATCGACGACAATCCCTTTCAACACGAGTTCATCGGGAAAATTCCAAAACCAATCGAAAAAAAGTCAAGCCTTTTCACATTCGACGAAAAAACTATTCAAATACACATAAAATACTTTTTTACAGTAAAAAATCTTTGACCCTGGTTCTCGTTTTCTCAAGTGTGTCTGTGTATGGCATTCTGCTTGCATACCATTAAGCTTGAAGTACCTGTTGCATTTCTTTTTTCATCTCAGAAATTACGCTCACTTGAGAAGTTATCATGCGAGAAACTAGAATATTTTCAAAATTAATCCTCGTTTGAATGAACACGTACAAAATCTCAGGATCCCATAATTTTTAAATTCCATAATTTTGAAATTGCGTTTTAAATAGATGAAATTTTGTGTTTGAAGGCAAGCAATTTTACTTTTAGCGGTAACTTTTTGTCCGAGAATAACGATGAATAATGTTACAGTGCATCTTTAAATACCTCCTTAATTTTTTCGAATCCTGCAAATGATTGTCAATTTTTATCCCACTTATTTTCTTAGTATTGTACAGTAATAATGTTAGAGGCAATATTCCGTTTCAAAATCCTGAGAGAAAGCGATGGATCTTCTCACGAATTGGTACAGTATACTATGTTTCCGAAATCGTCTTTCATGAGTCAAAAAGGACAATCTTTCCGCGACATGAGAATTCTTCGAATATCAAACATAGGCGGGTATGGTTTAAAGCTGATCATAATTGAATTAATTGACGCATAGAGTTTCAAACTTTTTACCATTGCAGCAGCGTTGATTCCTTCATCACAGGCAGCAATCACTAATTAAAGTGTCTACATATAGTCCATACCAGTGTTCCTCAACCCGTGGTCCGCGGACCGGCGCTGGTCCGTATAAGTTTTTGTGCCGGTCCGCGGGAAATTTCTGCAGGCTAATGCATTTTTCAAAAGTAGCAGTGAAGGATGTTACAGCTAAGATCTTTATCTCAAATTTTGGCAAGACAATGGCAGTTGAAATTATCTCATGAAAAATATATCTTGGCTTTTCTCTTATAATACTTCCAAATTTTTTTTAACCTGATTTAATAAATTATTTCAATTTTTGAGTCTGAAAAACCTTTCTTCAAAACCACCTTTCCATTTTTGAAGACTCCAGCTCTTTCAATGGTTCTTGACTTAATTTTTGCAACAGCAAAAAATAGCAGAAGCTATTAAAATATTGTACATACCTGCCAGTCAAGCTGTCTTTCACGCGAAACTTTTTGAGCATGCAAACATTTTATGAAAATGTGCTCGTCCTCAGAAAATTTGACAAACCTTTGCTGGTATGCAGAAAGTTTTTTTGGAAATTTGCCGGTCTGTGGGACCAAAAAGGTTGGGAAACAGTGGTCTATAAACTCTATACCATGATCGTCATGAGTCACGAAAACAAACAGCGCTTTGCGAAATAGTTTTGCACCTACCAGCTGTGTCAAACTATTTTCAACTGTTGTGATTCTTGATTTGTGAGAATTGGATACAAAGTGCACACTTTTTTTTTGCAATCTATTCGTTCCCGGAGAAGCTTCTTTCTTCGTCTCCCCATGTGCATCACAGTGTCGATTGCTGGAGACCCGGCTTATTTAGCGAGGGTTCTCTCTTCCCGTTTTTTTTTTTTTTTTTTTGAAGAGTGATGAGTGGGTCATGTAGTCCACGCGACCCGAGTTCACATGGGACAGTTGTTTATTGTTTTTCAAGACGGTGTATTTTATTCCTCGACAGAGCTGTGGAAGAACGCACAGAGCGTACAGTTGGATGGCAACGCGACAGAAGCCGTGATCGACGGCCTGAGTCCACACACCCGCTACGAGATCCGTATTGCGGCAGTCAACGATCTGGGCGTCAGTCCGCACTGTGCAGTGAGTGTCTCTGTTCATCAGCTATCCGACTTGAATCCAATGGGGGCCCCGACGTGCGGACGATTCGACTTGGGGGCACTGCTGGAAGCTTAAAACAACTTTCCCGAACATCTGGATAATGTCTCGAAATACACGGACACTTTTCCAACAATTATAAATAAATGGGGAGCCTTATTCTCAAAATTTTTGGATTATCTCAAACAAATTGAGTTGTTATTTTCTCAAAATTTAAAAATATATGTCATCATAAGTTCACTGAACTTTTATTCATAATTCAATAATGGATAATATTGTGCATATTTGTTCAGACTTCTTTCCATCACTTATTGTGAACAACAAAGGCAGTACTTGTTCTCAGATTTTTCAGCTTTTTGATGCGAAAAATTATGGATGGTTTTCTGCATCGTGCAATTTTGAAATGGGATTTTATTCAATTTTTGAGGACTTCTCGTAATTTGTGATCAGCAGGAGGACCAATTGAATATTGCCCGATGAAAGTCCAAGGGAAAACATATTGACAACGCCCAAGTACCAACCATGTCCGCATCTCGAGGCCCCACTGAGTATGTGTATATTTAGCAAATATTTCTTTCAGTACCAAAAAGCAAATTGCTATTTTCCAAAAAATGAAGACCTAAGCCTTCTCTTAGAAACACTGTACCTAATAATTCCTGTGTATTGTCAGCCTTTGATTTATTTTGTTGTTCAATCGTAAGTTGATTTTGTTAAAATTGATCATTTATAAATGGATTCTCGACGAACACACACTCGAGTTATGGGTCTTACCCAGGGAAATATTTTTGGGCCCATGACCCTCTACAACACTTCAAGGGTATGCGATACTCACATAATAAACACGATTCAAGAATAAATTTCAACACTTCCGTATGGCGTACCCATGAGAGATTGAAAATTACATTTCAAAATTTTATCGATACTACGAGAAAGTGGGCTCTATAAATGATGCATTGTGTTGAAAATTACATTTACCGTATTCAGTTTTATTCTATCATATGCAGTATTTCCCGCAAACTCCAAGAAGGTCATTTGCTGAAGATCATTGAGATTAAGGGAAATACCGGAAATAATAAAGTACATAACAAACTGTTGTGTGATGATTCGATAGTTCAACTGGTGCGTGCATTTCATGATTGGAATCAGATTTTCAACTAGAGCTATCGCATTAGTTTAAAACTTATATTTCTTGGATTTCCCGAGACGACAAGCTAAAATTGGAAAAGGCAAGAAAATGCGTAAAATAACAGATGAGAACACAAGAGTACCAAATCCATCTTCTTCTTCTTCTTTCTCGTCGGTGGGAATCGTCCTCCTCAGAAAAGGAATGCGACTTTTCCTCGCCCTGTCATGGATGACCATACGTACGAGGGTTGGTTCATAAGTTTTGAGACTTGTAGAAAAAAGATTCAACAGAGGTTCAACAAAAGAAAAGCAGATTTTTACTCGCATATAGCTCCATCCTTTGGCAACACATCAGTGCTTTTCAACACACTCTCCACCAATTTCAATCCATTTTTCATGCATTAAGTCCAACAATAAAAAATAAGTCCCTTAAAATCGAGTTCTGTTAGTTGAATATTAGACACCCAGTGAATTCTTGCTGTTCCCAACAGTGAAGAACAACCTGAAATGGATTGCTTTTGAGGACAGGGACTGCCTCATTTCCACCATCGAAAAAGAGCTTAGTCAATGAAGAAAACTCGATTTTCGGCACAGTTTTTTTTCTTTCAATCGTTGGATTTATTGCACGAAAAATGAAATGCAGCAAGATCCGCGGAGAGTATGTTGAACAGCAGTACAGCACTGAAGCGTTGCCAAATGATGGAGCTAAATGCAATTAACCCTTGGATGGCGGAGGGTTCTTTCCCATAGCAGGACAGAGTTGGATTATTTTTGTATCCTCCTACCGCATTTTCAGATTTTTGAAGGTCAGGAAAACACTTCCAGGTGGGCTGAGGCAAAGTTGGGATATATAAAAAAAAAAAGCGGGTAGCCTAACTGAGCATTTTTAAAAATTTTCCTGCGAACATTTTCTGTGCTCAAGGAAAAAAAATGGGGATTTTTCCTGACTTTGCCCTTAACCCCCTGTTGACATTTTTTTTTTCTTTGCCTCTCTGAGGTGGTACAAAATTTTGCCAAAATAGTCCAACTTTGCCACCCAAGGGTTAAACACATGTTTTTTGTGGTTGCTGGAATTGTTGAACCTTATCGGTTGGATTCATTTCAAGGAATCTCAAATAACTTATGAACCAACCCTCATGTTCTTGCGCAGTTGGAGTACTACAGCCCATAGGCTCCGAAAAAAAAAGATAATAACAACAGGAGAGGATCCCGATCCTCTGGGACAGTCTAATAACTTGAGCTTTCCCGCTTTCCAGCCCCTGCTCGTGGAGACGGACAGTGCCCTGCCATCAGCGGGTCCCCTGGAGGTGCAAGCAGTGCCCAGATCGCCACAGGAAATCTTTCTGCAGTGGATCCCACCTTCGCAGGAAACTTGGAACGGCCACGTGCAGGGCTACAAAGTCGGCCACATCGCGTGTGCCGAGTGAGCTCAACTTCCGGCCCAACTTTCGAGCCATGAAAATTTTAAATTTGTACCGCACATGATGCAGTGCAGTACTGTACTATAGTTTCCCGCTTTTTATCCAGCTGTTGCGCGGAAAGTTATCATAATAATCGTCACGCCGGATCAAGGTTAGATGAGTAAAACTAGTATAAATAAGCGGCGGAGTTTGCCGACGCCAGAAACTTCGGGGATTTTGCAGATACAGCAAGCAGTAGGAAAAGTTTTCGCTACATGATATCAATGACCCAGATTTCGATCTCAATAAGTAATTTTCGGAGCCACTTGCCTCTAACGTTTCTGAGCCTATAGCACACGCCTGAAGTCCTCAACAATTTTCTGATACTCCATCAACACGGATTGAGCAATTTTAAATGTTGCCGCATATACTATGAATTTTCGCGTCTCAATTCATCCCTATCAATTCCTGGACAACTCTCAGCTAATACGATATACCTGTAATTTAAAATGTTGAGGCACAATACTTTTTAATATCAAGCTTTTCCGACACATTGTCCCAGTTTTAGGCTTGATTAGAAATTAAATTAGAAAATACAGTAAAGTTCAGTCAAGTCTCCGCGGAATTTTTATTTAATTCGTTCATCGATTGAGATTTTCAGCCCTTATTTCACCAACCAATAAAGAAAAATTCGTACTGTATCAAAAAATTTCAGAATCAAGTTCCAGAATGAAAACAATCTAATTATTCAAATTGTTACATCACCAAAAAATGAATATTTTACGTCCTTCAAAGGAGGCAGAAGTAATTTAATTTAAAGTCCGAAACCGCAATTTTTTTGACGGAATATACCGGTAATATTTTTCTCCGTAGTAATTGGACTACCAAACTTCAGTAATTCAACTTACCCTGGAAAGTTGCTTCATGAGAGTGTGGTTCGACTGTGTAAGGCAGATAATTAAAGTTTTTCGAATAAAATGTACTTCTTTTAAAGTTGAAAATAAGAAGAATGTTCGAATTGCGAACTTAAATAGCTGTGAACAGATTGCGAAGAGCTTCAGGAACGAAACTTTTCCCGTGATTTTTTTATTCTTGTCAGGAAAAGAATCATTCCATTTTCAACAATTCACATACTGTTTTATTAAGCCGTCGAAAAGACGTTTGCTCCGTATTGGAAAAAATAACACAGACTTAATTTGTCGTCAGCGCTGCGGAGGTTTGAGCAAGACTTTCCGGTCACGACAGCAGTTTGAAATATTCGACAGGCTTTTCAAAGTACTTTTTTCCCTCGTGCCTTTGTCGACAGAATGGGGAATGGAGGAGTGACGTACCTGGATGTGCCTGTGGAGCCGACGAGTTTGGCACAGTCTGCTTCTGTCAAGGGCCTGCGCCCTTACACCAACTACTGCTTCACAGTGCGGCTCGTCAACGACGTCGGTGACGGACCCGACAGCTTGCACACCGAAGCCGCGACACTACAGGATGGTGAGTCCCTGCTGTCACTCTTACATTCCTCCTGTCGTTCCATTCAACTGCCTCATTTTTGAAGATTTTCTACGTGATATCGCAGATATTAAATCGTGTTGCTGACGTGTCAGGTTCATAGTACGATTCTTGTTTGTTTTTTGGTGTTTTTTAAAATTCCCATACTGTATTTTCGATAGTGCAGGTATAACGTTTGCAAATAGTCAGGCAGGAAACCAGTGAAAATGCTGCTCACTTATTTTCATTTTCTCAAATGGTGCGATCCTTTTACAACGTTCAGCAAAATAAAACACCATCGAAATTTGCGCAGGGTGCCGACATTTTATATTGCTGAATCTTAAATGCGCCTCGACAAATATTCTCTACATAAAATACTATTTAAAGAGGACCGAGTTATTTTTGAATGGAGCCGCAATGATGTTTCTGAAAATTCGGATCGGAGGGTATTCTTCCGTTTAAACAAAAACTGAAGCATTTCATGAACTCAATTGATTTGTTTTACGAGTATTTTCGTGAGAATATCTTATTCACATTTATGACAAATATTACAGCCCATCAGCAAATAATTTGGTGTAGCAAAACAAATGCATTCCCAATAAATACAATGCACAACAATTTTTCATTCCGTCACTCATGAAAGGCCATGGAAATTGTCAAGGTGTAGCAGAAGAAGCTGGGTGTAGCAGTTATGCATAACAAATGCATGAAGTTACGCATAGCTGTTACACCCAGCCCTGCCTGTAACAAATTATTTGCTGGGAGTACAGTACAATATTACTTTTTGCTAATAGGAAAATTCCAGGAATGCATGTTTTTCATTATATAAGCTTTATTCAGAAATAATAACTGTGTACGCAACTGCGCAATAAATCATGTAGAACTCCTTGCATTTCACACTGAAGTTTAAAATATTGTACGATATTTACAATATTTAAAACTGATACTGGTTCTGAGAATCACGCATAAAATGCTATCGAATTTTTGGTATACGACATAATTTAACGGTCTAGTTTGATCTGCAGTGTGCATATGAAAACGTATGTTAATACTATGTAATGTGAAATTTCCGAATCTTAGTTCCAGGTCCAGTGAGACAGCTGAAGTGTGAGCCAGGTTCGTCGCAAAGCTTATCAGTGTCTTGGTCACCTCCACCAGAGTCGGAGAGAAACGGAGAAATTATCGGATATCGGGGATTTTATCGATTGACCGACTCAGATTACGATGGTACGTATATTGACAAGTACTGGTAGATTCAATCCGAACACCTTCATATCATTAGTACTGATTTCTATGCGCCATGGAAATACGCCGATCGCAGCAACCGAAATCCTGTCAATGTATGATACGAATAATCAGTTCAACCTAGTATTCGATGAATAACGGACTCGCATTTAGTTTCGGCTCTAATACATTTCATACTCTGGACTCCTGGAGAAAACAAAATACTGTATGCATTAGTCGTAGTTGAAATTACATGAAATCATCATGCGGATTATCTTTGAAAGTTTTCAATGATGGTTGAATCGCGATAAAGCGAATTTCTCCAAGTCGAATGCCTTTCAATGTCAAACTTTTTCCAACCACCTGTCTGAATTTACTCAGAAAAAATTCATTAAAAGATTCCATAAAACTCAAATAAAGGCTTCGTCTTTCAAACCTCGATGAGTCGAATTTTTAGGAGGTCTCATCCTGGCTATTATTTCATTGACACAGGAAAGAGAAATGCTATAAATTAAATTTTACTTGATGCGCTTTGAAACTAAATCCCCCCTCGCCTTCAAGTACAGAATCCCATCTACTAATTTCAGAAGATGATTAAAATACAGAATTTTACTGGCTGTCCAGTATTATTTCTTTCTTTCCCCAAACCAAAAAATGCTCCTTTTCCGAACTTGAAAGATCAATGACTAGAATTGTTTCGCCCTTGAAATACGACTTGAACGGGTTCAACTAATTGAAAATTCAAACGGATTTTGCGAGGACAAAAATAAAAATGATTATACTCGCTTGCCTGATTTTGCGTCTTCGTATTATTTCCCTTTAAAAATGCAAATTTCTGTACCGTGTCAGAAAATCTCATTTGGTACTTGTTCTGTGTGTTTTTCTTATGATTGCGGATTCCGGCTGTTAACAGTGAAGAAGATTGATTCTCAACGAATATTTCCACCTGAATTTGATGCAAAGTCAGAAACATAATGCGAAGGCAAAAATATATATCTATTTGAAGGCCGCTGGCATGTCACGAAATTTGTTGCTCATCAGTAGAAGCTTGCAAATGTCAAAAGAATGAAGCTTCACAAATATGGTCTCGGAAAAACCTCGTGTCAACAGAAGGCTGTCGATTTCGACATATTCGTATGCCAACTTCCCCTGATATGTTCCTCATCGCTGCTTTTCGTTGTGGTTCCTTATTTTCTCATCTTTGTGTTTGTGTCCTGTTCCCTGTTGCACCGGAAGAAGAGACTGTGGAATTCCCGAGAGAGGCTGGCGTGCTTTTGGGTCTGCGGAAGTTCTCGAATTACTCAGTGACGCTGGCAGCTGTGACGAGGGCAGGAGTGGGTGTCAAAGCCGAACCCTTGACGTGTTCGACTGACGAAGACGGTGAGTGTCGGACTGTGTTTTGATTTTTTTTAACGCTTGCGTATGTGTGCGACTTTACATTCTTTTTTGACAAGTTCGAGACCTTCTTTTCTTCTGTGCGAGATAAAAAAAAGGATATAGGGAGGCTTTTTTTAAATGTCTTGAGATTTCGCATTTTATTCAATTTTTTTTTTCATTTTGGGCCATCTTAAGCAATTCATTTTTTGTATCCTCGGCGATTGACTCAAATGAAAGATGCCGTCTATAGAATTATAAAAATACTTTATGGTTAACGTCCTTTGAGAGTAAATTACGGTTTATCTGCAAACAAAATGCTACGGATGCTCAGCAATTTCTAAAATCAAGGCATTCATGAAATAAATATAAATCCAACGTCCTCAAACGTTTCAATGTTCAATCTCCCATCATGAGCAGATGAACTGAGAATGATTTTGAAGCGTGTTTAATTGAATTTTGAAAAACTGCCTTCATTCAAAACACTTCGTATTGTTCGAAAACACTCAATCTGTGAAAATCAAAGACTCTATCAAATTCAAGACACTGCCACATTTGACATTAATCTAAACTTTTTCAAAAGCCGATTTTCGTATGAAAAAAGTCGTCTTTATATTTAGTAGAACTCAGGCATGAAAATTATTGAACCCATGACGAGAAAGAGTATGGATGAGAAACATTGGATTGCATTTTTAACCCCATGGAGAGTTCGTCGGATTTAGCCCAACTTTTTCTACGACGATTTATGACTCTCCGAATAAATAGCATTCATGAAGTGTCTGGAAATGCTTTGAATGAAGATTATATCTGCAAAAAGAGAGATTTGGCCCAGAAAAACAAAATCTTGATCAACTACATATAAGAAAATCCCAACACAGGTAGATCTGATTCAAGAATTGTCCTCTCTGCTTTCGATTCTCCTCAAAATATCGCTCTTAATAACATATAACTGATACCATTCCATCACGATTTTTTTTTTTTCAAATTAGAGAGTAAAAAGTGGTGCGCATTTCAGGCGGGTTTCAATGTTCAGTAATTTTTTTTCGAATGTCAGTAGGTGCGTGTTATACACCAATTAAACTTGAGTCACGCACGTTTGGGAAATCTTGAACCGTTTGCGAAAATTTTTTTAAATAGTGGATTCATTTGAAAGGCTATTTAAATATTGACTCAATTCAATTCAAAGTTCATGTATAGATAAATTTGTTTTCGAAATATTGCCATTTTTCAGCCCCAGAAAATGAATTACTGAATACTTTTTCTTAGGAAAAGTTTTTGCAGAGAATTGGAGGTGAGTGTCTCGCGTGTGGTACTCGAATACTGTACTCAAGGCGGAATGTGTTGCATATCTGTTTCAATATAAGGGCTTCATATAGAGTCCATTACAGCAAATCAATTTGATTTACTGTAGCAATAAAAGAAGCTCTTGCAGCAACAAAACATGTCGTCAAGCCTGGGATTATTTTCTCCACATATATTAGTCCCGGACCCGCCGCGGCACGTGAAGGCCGCCCCGTCGTCGGGGTCGGCGGCCACCGTGGCCTGGAGTGCGCCAACTGAAGCCAACGGCGTCCTGGTCGGCTACACGGTCATGCAATTCGCGGCGACTGGGTCACGTCGTCGTCCGCCATCGTCGTCACCCAACATGGACGGGGAACCCGCGGAACGGGAACTGCGCCTGCCTGCCGGTGTAGTGTCGCATGAACTCGACGGGCTGGACCGCCGACGGAGATACCGATTCTGCATCACTGCCCACACGCGAATCGGGCAGAGTGAACCTGCTTGCTCAGCTCCAGTCAGTCCTGCTCCCAAAGGTGGGTGCAGTGCCACTAAACAGTACAGGTGGTACCCCACAATTTGACCTGAATCTGTTGCTGGACTATATAGGGTCAAATTGCTAAGTGGTTGAATTGCAAAGCAATGTCAAATGCAATGTTCTCAACATCAGTGTTTCATCCCCAAACTGTTTTGCTTGTAGACTGGCAAATTTTAATAAAATATTTGGCAGACCGGCAAATTGTCATAAAATTTTCTGCAGACCAGCAAAGTTTCATATAATTTAGAAAACCCAGGAAAATTTGTAAATACCTGCCATGAATTCCTTAGAACAAAACTTGTATTGCAAAAATTAAGTAAAGAACCAATCAGCAGATACGGTATATATTTGAATGTCTTTAAATAAATATAAAGCTAGGCTTCAAGAAAGGCTTCTCAGATTTAAAACTCAAAATTATTTTTTTTCAGACAGGTGAGGATGTGTCTGAACGCTGAAACATAAAGTGTAATAATAAGGAAAGCCAACTTCTATTTTTCTCTGATAATTTCAACTGCCATTTTTTCCAAAATGTTGGATAATCAACAATAACAAGCTTCAATACTACCTTCTATAAAATGTATGATGCTGAAGAAATTTTCCCACAGACCTGCAAGAAACTTTTGAAGACTGGCCAAGGTTGATGGACCTTGGATTGGGAACACTGTTCAACATTGTATTTCACATTTTTGTTTATGTCTGTGGGTCAAATTGCAGGGCCTAGGTCAAATTGCAAGTTGGCCTCCCAGCAAATTTGACCATCAAATTGTGGTATGTTCAAATTGTGGGAGGTTTAATTGCAGGGGATGCAAAATTGATTTGAAATGCATTCACACTTTCTTCTAATAATTTTGAGGGCAAACAAGGGTACATTTCTATGTCATTTTGCTGGGTAGAATTCTCAAAAAGTAGTAGAAGTCTAGGTGTTTGTCACATTTGAACCTAATGTGCAATTTTGACCCAACTTTCAGGGTAATGTTTTGGAATAAAAACAATTGAAAATTTAATTTAATTGGAGTTGAATTCCTGTTCAACCGCAAATTCTGGTTTTAGTAACTTTATGGACTCGTATAAAAAAAAGTTAGAGCCACTAAATGTGGTGTGTGCATCTCGCATGGGGATGCAATTTCACCAAAATTTAGGTTTTAAAAATCCAGGTGTGTGTCTTACTCAAGGGAACATATGGTACCCAAGTAAACACTGTACAGTATAAACAAAGGTCACTGTATTTAACACCCACACACACACGCACATTACCAAGTTGGAATTATTATCTTTTGTTTTATATTCCAATGACAGTTCCAGCTGCGGTGCTGACATTCGGAGGCATTGTATCTGCCACAGCGCAGTCAGACACTGTCCTGCCGTGCCAGCATGTCGGCGTGCCCAGTCCCCAGGTTCAATGGGAACTCCCGAATGGGATTCGTGTGACGAGTTCAGAAACGCCCAGCAACCGCCTGGGCATCATGCCCGACGGCAAGCTCGTCGTCAGGGACCTCGCCCGCAACGACACCGGCAATTACACGTGCACAGCGTCCAATGATCAGGGAACCGATGCTGTTTCTCATCGACTCGTTGTCAAATGTACGTCAATTTCCCCTCCGTCTGGTCAAAATCAATTGAGCTTCGAAAAATTTGAATTTTTCATACTTACCTATATAGGCGCATGTAAAAAGAAATTCTTCGATTTCTGTCTTGATGGAGGTGTACAGTTCAAACTATCGCAGTCGAATGTGGAGAGACTCCAAAAATTTGATCATCAATTTGGGAGAAAATGGCATAATTTGTGCCCGTTCATCAGTTAAAAAAAATGTCTGTCATGATACGAATACTGTCAATATGGACTGGTGCTACATTTTTTTAATACCTGATCCCGAACGGTAACTTTACTTACCGTACAATAATGCTAATGTGTATATGTTCGGGATCAGGTATTAAAAAAATGTAGCACCACTCTGATCGCGGAAGAGCAATTGGGGGTTCGATTGAAGAGGTTAGACCCACACATTTTTGAGAGGTTTAAAATGCATTCGTCTTGATGGGATTGGTCAGGGATAATTTGAGCTATTCTTGGTTTTTTTTTTTTTACTGAGGGAAGGTCAACTGAGTTGAACTGTCGCTTTGAATGACAGCATGGTTTTCAACAGCATGGGTATATTTGTTAGTGGGTATTCTTCTGGCAAACGGGTGCGGGAGATACTTTCCTCAGAAGCACAAAAAGCCCATTAATTTTGCTCAAGTAATATGTACAATGATCTGTTATTGATCTTTCATCGGCGTTTTCTTCCAATATCAAGGATTTCAGGGTAATATTTTTCCATTCTCTATATAAGCCGAGCGAAGTAATTCAAGCATATGTTTTTCCCTCTTCATCAACTCGTTGTTCGAGCCTATGTTTGCATCTTTGGAATGAATAACAAGAAGGGCATAGAAATAGTTCAAAGAATTTCAGTTTCGACTCACAACCGAACAATCCTGGTATTCTGAGAGTGGATGAACGATGCAGACGACATCCAAGTGTCGAGAGAGAATATTTACAGTTGTACAGTTCGACTAAGATCTCCCCGAAGTTTCACTAAAATTGTTGGGATTTCGCTAGAGAAATTGGTTCGGAATCGGAATATTTACTTTTTTTTTAGTTGTAAAAAGATCGCTCTCGTTTCAAACCGCGTCAAGCAGAGGATAATACCCAACTAACAGCGGGAAATACAGTGGACGGCAATTTGACGTAGAGCCTCTTATTTTTCAATAAAAAAATCATAAGAAAGGCCCGACATACGGACCTATTTACACATTTTTAAGAGACTGACTGAACATTAGGACATTGCATGATAAAATTGGCAAAATATTTTAGGAAAAGTTACTTTTATTAGGCTTAGTTGCAAGAAACAGATATTTCCAACCCTAAGGTCTATGCAAGAAAAATTATTTGGTACTTTTTCCCTCACTTTCCCATCCATTCAGCTGATTTAAAAAAAAAAATTACATATAGCACAGTGGGACTTCCTTCTCTCTTTGTGACTTGGATGTTATTTTTACAGATGCCAACATTTCAAAGAACTGTACAGCAGTATAATATTCAATGCTCCAAATGTTCCTATTGGGTTGAAAAGATATTCACTGAATCAAATTTAAGTTGCAAGCATTTTTTTTCATGTAATTTTACAGAATCTTTCTTCCATAAAACACCAGTTAAAAATAATATAATGAAAGTCTATGGAAAAACAAGACTCAATTTGACTTAGGGACAATTCAACTTAGGGACACTCTTGATGCACCAATTATGTCCACATCTGGGGGTCTCAGTGTAATCATATTTAATTGTAGAAGGAAACAGTAGAATCTTGTCACAATAAAGCTCTAAAGGCCCAGACTCACGCTTCATTACAGGGAGAAATTCGTTAATTCGTCAAGATAATTCCGCTGTGGAGCGATTTGAAAAATAGTGTGCTATACAGGACAGAAAACTGAAAAAAGTGAATTCATTGAAGCCAATAATTGAAAATACAGTAACAAGATTCCTTTGAATAAGATTTCATTTGATTGGGACTTGGGAGACCCGAAATGCATAACGTTGTATTCCGTCATTCCTTCGACAGCGTTGCCATCCGCGCCCAAGTTGCACCTCGAGTCCGTCACTGCCACCAGCATCTCGGTCGGCTGGACCCGCGTGGACCCGGGCAACTCGGAAATGAAAAAGTTCGTGGTGAACTTCCGGAAAACCTACGGCGGTCGTTGGGAAGAGAGCTCGGCTGGCAAACACGCCACGTCATTCACCGTCGCCGCGCTGGACTGTGGCACCGAGTACCAGATCTACGTGGCGGCCGTCAACGAGATCGGCGCCGGCAAGCCGAGCATCGTGCTCAACGCCGTCACGAAGGGCGACCGACCGCCGCCAGCCACGCCCGAGACGATCCTGGCGGTGAACGCCACCAGTGCTGTCCTCAACTTCAAGACCTGGCAGAGTCCGGAATGTCCGATTCAGCGCTTCAAAGTGCAGTACAAGGCTGCTGCCAGCAACTGGGACTGGATACTCGGTACTGTACCATACAGATGACAATACCCTGGATTCAGGGCCACGAATTTCAGCATAATAAACGGGCATCAAATGTATTCATACTGTATCTGGCAGTGCTGCCCAACTCAGACGTGGCCAAAGGCGACATTAACTAAGTGATGTGTCACTCAAGCATATGGTTTTTTTCTTCGCGACACCGGCCATTTTAAAATTACCTATTAGCAGTACCCGCAGAAAATCCTGTTCGAAATCGATTTGAATTTTAAAAGTCTGAAATTATTGATATCTCTAAGCGCATGTGAAAGAAAATTGGGAATAACGAATAAGAATTTTGCCCAAGAAATTAAATAAACCAAAATTCAAAAGTTTACGTTTGCGCCTACTGCTGGTCTGAAGTGGATGAGAGAATTAAGAACTCTACATGGTTCTATAGCAGCGACATCTGCTTACAATGCTTCTTAATCATCTTCCGCAGTTGGAGATTCCTTCGGACCGGACTCGTACGTTCCGATTCGTGGCCTCGCCCCAGGGACCACGTACATTATCTCGTTAACAGCATTCAATCCAGCGGGAAAAACCACTTTGCTACATCATTTCATCACGAAATCCTTGTCAGGAGGTGAGTTGATGGTTCAACGTTTCTAGACTTGTTTCATTGTTTTTTGCCTAAGCATGCTTTGAATATATTTTTGTCCTCTTCCATTGCTCTTTGTCGGTTTCAGGGCTATACCAACGACATTGAAGTCACTTTTCATTCTCGTCTAGAAATGATAGAGACACATTTTTCAATATTAACCTGGAAACAGCCATGCTTCCCCAAAATATAATATTGTACAGTATACAGTACTTTCTTCTATTAAGCTCTATAAAAGTGCAACACAATGCAGTATTTGAATGTCTTGTCTCTCTCTCACTCGTTACGCATAAATATTCGTTGTATCGAGAGAGTTCACCTGGTGTACTTTCTCTACAATTATCTTGTCTACGAATATATTCTCTGAAAGAAAATTTTTTTTATCCCAGAGGATTCAATCCTCATGTTATACTGTATAGGGATTATCTACAACAAAATTAACTCCACGACAATTTTTTTTCTGGGCCCATGCATTTCTTCCTGGAGAGAGTCCATCTACACAATACTCATAATTTAGTATCATACAAAAATCAGCACTTCCATAATTTCCATGAAATCAATAGAACAAAAAATGCTGCATGCGCTTTCTCTTTTTTTTTATTCGAGATCCGCTGCTACATAATAATCGTCATTCTCACCCTTCAACAATACTTGCAACACTTTTTTTAACTACTTTGTTGGGCACCAAAAAATGCTCATAAACTTCCAAAGGGAATTCCAATCATATTCCTAATGAAGGGTTTATCAAGTATATTTGCCTGAACTTGAAAAAGTATAAGATCCATCTTTGTCAAAAGAGAGATCCACGTTAGGGGAAGTAAAATCGGTGGCCAATTACTACTGTACACTATTTTCAAACGCAACTTTCAGTAGCATGGCAGTCAAGGACTGTACATTGCTTGCATGCAAATCCCAGTTCCTGGGACTTGAATTCATTTTCAAGTTCGAGTTTCTCTGTTGTTTCTGTATAAAGATATAGGAAACCGGCTTTTTTACTTTCGGGCGATGCCATCTGACGGCCATTCGAGACATTCAGAGTACATCCAGATTTCAACGACCAAACGACCTTCCTGAAAATAATTCACTCAAAAATGTTAATCGATAACATGGAATGATGGGTTCTTTTCAGGGGGCCTTGTCGGAATGCATTCCAATCAGGATTTATGCTCTAGTAATAGTTATAGCGACATCTACCAGAGGAGAATAGTTGCCATTCATGGTCTCGTTTGTATATAGACAATAAGTTCGACCACATAACGAAAGAAATACTGTACCTAATCCTATCCGAACTCTACTGCACCAGAAAATAGATCGATCATTGATGATGCTTGTAGATGACGAAAAATTAGTTTCCTTTCCACCGATTTTTGCTTTGATTCTTTCAAAAAGTAAGTCCTCAAAATATACTGTTTCCTTTATTTACTCGAGTGCCACATGCCCTTAAGTAAGACACGCACCAAGTTTTTCCTGTCCACTTTTTTGTTTTTACGAATTATACATTCAACTGAGACATGCATCCCATCTTTAATGACTCTAAAATTGCAATACTGCATTTCAAAAAAAATAAAACCCAAATTTGAATTGAGACATGAACTGAACCT